CTCAATTTGTGTAAAGCTATTCATCCTTAGGGACAAAAGAACAGAATCTTAATGTCAGTATATAATATTCTATCAAAATGGAAAATATTGGCACCTTTTATTGTATGAGACAACATATTTTGCAATTTGAAACTTAAATTTTTTCACTTTTATGTCAAACAATCCATCCTGAGGTATCAAAAGTACTCAATTATCAGACAAGTACAAACATTTTGATAAAAAAAGATATAGAGTATTGTCACTTTTTATTGTTATCGACATAAAAATAAGTAATCGTAGACTTATAGAGCTCTCAATTTGTATAAAACTATTCATCATTAGAGACAAAAAGAATATTTTTTTATGCCGTTGTATAGTTTTCTAACAAAACGGAAAATATTGGCACCTTTTTTTTTGTATGCGACAACAAATTGTGCACTTTGAAACTTAAATGGTTTACCTTTTACGTCCAACAATCCATCCAGAGGTTTAAAAAAAAAAACTCAATTATCAGGCAAGTACAAGAATTTTTATAAAAAAAAAGAAATATTGTCATTTTTATTGTTATCGACATAATTATTTGTTACCGTAGACTGATAGAATTCTCCATTTTTGTAAAAATATTCCTCCTTAGGGACAAAAAGAACAGAATTTTAATGCCTTTGTATAATATTTTAACAAAATGAAAAATATTGGCACCCTTTTTTTATGAGACAACATATTTTGCATTTCTAAAACTAAATTTCTTCACTTTTATGTCAAACAATCAATCCTGAGGTATAAAAAATACTCATTTATCAGGCAAGTACAAGAATATTAATGAAAACAAGAAATATTGTCACTTTTCATTGTTATCGACATACATATTAGAAACCGTAGCCTTATAGAGCTCTTACTTTGTGTAAAACTATTCATCACTAGGGACAAAAAGAAAAAAAAAATATGCTGTTGTATAATTTTCTAACAAAATGGAAAATTTTGGCACCTTTTTTTTGTATGCAACAAAAAATTTTGCAATTTTAAACGTAAATTTCCTCACTTTTATTTCTAACATTTCCATCCTGAGGTATAAAAAGTACTCAGTTATTAGGCAATTACAAGAATATTAATAAAAAAAAAAGATATATAGTCACTTTTTTTGTTATCGACATACATATTAGTAACCGTAGACTTATAAGAGCTGTCAATTTGTGTAAAACTATTCATCATTAGGGAAAAAGAACAAATTATTTATGCGGTTGTATAATTTTCTTACAAAATTGAAAATATTGGAACCTTTTTTTGTATGCAACAACAAACTTTGCAATGTTAAACTTAAATGTCTGCATTCCTCTGTCTAACAATCCATCACAAGGTATAATAAGTACTCTTTTATTAGGCAAGTACACGAATATTAATAAAAAAAGAAGAATTATTGTTACTTTTTCTTGTTATCCACATAAACATTAGTAACAGTAGACTTATAGAGCTCTCAATTTGTGTAAAATTATTCATCCTTAGAGACAAAAGTACACAATTATCAGGTTTATTATATTTCAAATCCGAAATGAATCCCCTGAGAAATAAGAACAGTATCTACAGTTTTATTTCGTCCTGTCATGGTCGATATTGTTTCAGTCATTGTCAACGTTGATCAGATAACTTTTTGCAATCTTCGAAAATATTCGTTCGTTTTTGTTTTATATTGAGATATTAAATAATGAAATTTTATTTAAGATAGATCCTATGCATGATTTTTCATCTCCTATCGTTAATTATCCATTTTTAGATGGTGACGTTCACTTGTCACCATCTTATGGTGTTTATATATCTCAACTTGTACGATTCGCTCGTGTATGTAACAACGTATTAGATTTAAGCTAGAGAAATTTATGTATTACTGAAAAATTGTTACACCAGGGTTTTCCATATCATAAACTAGTCAAAACATTTACTTAATTTTATCATCGGTATAAGGACATCATTCGTAAATATAACTCAACATGCAGACATCTTATACGTTCGGGTTTCACATTAAATCTTTTATGGTAATATTCTTTACAAAACACAAAAATGTCAGTATTCACCTCAAAAGCTAACAAAACCTTTAAACAGACTTATTAAGAAGGGATATAGTTACGAAACTGTTGTCAGGTCATTAAAGATTGCATATTTTGGCTTTAATATTGATTCACTTATAGGGTCTTTGCATCGGAATTAAACATACTTATTCTAAAACCAGTTGTTGGCATGACACGGTTAATGTTCTTTTCATATATTTTATGATGGTATAATACTAAACCTCTAACAGGAGGGATTGTGCCTGATATTCATATGATGAAGACATAATCTTTCAATCAGTTTAATTGAGGTCTGGAGCTGGCATGTCAGTAACTGCTAGTAGTCTGTTGTTATTTATGTATTAATGTCATTTTGTTTATTTTCTTTTGTTTCCTATTCTGACATCGGACTCGGACTTATCTTAAACTGAGTTTTACTGTACGTACTGTTGTACGTTTGTTTTTTCTACATTGGCTAGTGGTATAGGGGGAGGGTTGAAATCTCAAAAAACATGTTTAACCCCGCCGCATTTTTGCGCCTGTCCCAAGTCAGGAGCCTCTGGCCTTTGTTAGCCTTGTATCATTTTAAAATTTAGTTTCTTGTGTATAATTTGGAGTTTAGTATGACTTCCATTATCACTGAACTAGTATACATATTTGTTTAGGGGCCAGCTGAAGGACGCCTCCGGGTGCGGGAGTTTCTCGCTGCATTGAAGACCCATTGGTGGCCTTCGGCTGTTGTTTGCTCTATGGTCGGGTTGTTGTCTTTTTGACACATTCCTCATTTCCATTCTCAATTTTATATGATAAAAAAATAGTTATTAGCATTTTAATGTTGTTCCTGTCTTTGGTCCAGTCGTTATTGTAACCAACCATGCAGTAGTAAACGTGCGTCTACTTTTAACACAAAAAAAAAACAGAAAACGCGCCACTTTCACGTTAACGCGGAAGTAGACGCGGAAGTAAACGCCCACTTACTATTAACAAAATTAGAAGACGCTCCTTTTTCGCGTTAACGCGGAGGTAAACGTGAAAGTTAACGCCCGTTTACTTTTTATGTCTACTTAAATTTCTTAAGTAAACGCGGCGTGAAGTGCTCGCGAGTAAACACCGCGTTAACTTTTTCCGCGCGTCTACATGTTATGCTTGGTCTGCTCCCAACTGTACCAATAGGTGAAAAGAGACTGTGGTTTTTTTTCGACAACACAGTGCATTTTAAACTTAAATATATCTTCAGAAATACTGTGAAACTGTTTACTTGCGTAATGGTATAAACCATATGTAGATTCTAAAAAACTCCAAAGAACTGGATAATTTTAAATTTCGATAAATGTCTGATTGTTCAACCCAGTATATCACATACCCTATGTGAAACTGAAAAATCGTCTGGAGGAAATAATCTTTAATGCTTTTTAATTCAAACAGGGTAACAACCGATATAAATCTATTGTTCTGGGTAACACAATGTAACAATGCGGCCATTTTTGTTAATAGTGAACGAGAAAGTAAAACAGAGGAACAAGTGATCAGTAGTTTCTCATTGACAACATATTTTTTTTTAATTTGAAGATAGACATTTTTTAGCAAATTGTCGGCATTCCTAATGGAAAGAAATGTGCGCCTCTCCTTGTCGACCTCTTCTTGTTTTAATGTAAGTCGGAGTTCCGTTAGATTCTTATAAAAAGCCCGATCCTTTAATTTCGCATCCAGATATATTAATTATGTTATTTCCAGTTACAATGCAAACCTTTTTGATTGGGTTCCATTGATATATCCTCCAGAACTAGAAATTATAGAAGCAACAGACACGGACTCCATCGCCTCATTTTAGACTTATATCTCGAAAATGACATAAGTGGTCATTTCAGTACTAGAATCTATGACAAGGGAGACAATTATAATTTTAAAATTGTAAATTTCCCCCACATCGGCAGCAATATACCAACTTCATATGCATATTGGATAAGAATTTCCCGACTCTACTGTTGATAAATATTCTGTATCAACTTAACAAATAAAACATGATGGTCTTGAAGTATAGATTCTATGTACTGACGTTGATTATCATTTTAACTATGTGTTATAATGTTATTTTTATTTGTCTTTGTTCATTTTTAACCTTTACTGTTTAGTCCATGTTTGGTATATACTTCTGGCATGGCTAGGTATATGTAAATCCCGCAATTGTGTTATTGTGCTATGATCATTTTTGTATTCTTGTCTTTCAATTTTGCGTATGATCTTTGTATATGAAGTGTTTATATGCCATTTTGTTTTCTTTGTTGAAATAGTTATTTGTTTTGTAGGGATTAAGATTTCACAATCTTGATTGCTGTTTTTGAAATTTTTGACAATTTTACCTATTAAGTCTATTTTCTTTTGCTCACACATTGTTGTCTATATGATGGAATTCTATGCGACTGTCTTACAAATGAGCGGTTTAGCTATCTTTAAAAGAAGGTATAATCCACCATTTTCTGAATAAGTTAATGCCTGTACCAAGTCAGGAATATGACAGTTGTTTTCTATTCGTTTGAAGTGTTTGAGCTTTTGATTTTGCTATTTGATAATAGACTTTCCGTTAAGAATTTTCCTTGGAGTTCGGTATTTTTTGTTATTTTACTAAGCTCTCATATTGGAAATTTCCTACACATACTAATCAATTTTGTGAGCCCACTAAACCCTGAAAAACATTTGCAAGTTAATAAGGTGTATGATGATTGCTCTGTGTTTAATCAGGTTTAGTTCGGTATGAACAGTTCATTATTTGTGGGAAGGATGATTTTGGAATTGAATTTTCTGCCCTGGAAAAAATAATTGATTCAACACAATATGAAAATAAATATTCAGTCCTGCAAAATCAGGAAGATGCAGGACATTATTGTGCAAAAGTGAAAATACTATAGTTGACATTCCGACCAAAGAATTGACACGCTCTCAAAAACAGGAGTGTCATGTCTGAAGGGGCTAGGTTTTTTTTGTTCAAGACAGTTCAACATTGAACATAAATTTCTCATCCACAGGTGTCACACCACATGAGAACGTCATATATCCAATAATTGGTGTTGCTGGTGTTATAATTGGTGTTGTTGTTGTTATAATTGGTGCTGTTGTTGTTATAATTGGTGCTGTAGTTTTGTTACTGATATGCTGATGTCGACAGCGTAACTCTCCTCAAAGAACTGGAAGACCCTATGAAGAACCTGATCATCAATCTCCTCCAAGAACTGGTAGACCCTTTGGAGAATATGACGATCCAGTGACAACAGTGTCTCAGATAGATAATGTATATGACAGTATTCGTGACATGGAGCTTACTTCAAACTTGTCTCATTCAAATTCAGTATATCTGGTAGAAACTCATGGAGAATCGTCTTCTAGTGCAGACCCACCACATGATTACTGCGAACTTATGATCGGGAGCAGAGACTCGAGCGAGCCTGAATCAAGTGTGATAAGAAATGCTCACCTGGATATGCCTGAATCAAGTGTGACAAGAAATGCTCAACCGGATATGCCTGTAACAAATGTGACAAGAAATGCTCATCCGGATATACCTGAATCAAGTGTGACACGAAATGTTCATCCGGATGTGCCTGAATCAGTTGCGTAAAAAACAGTGTTCATCCAAATATCGAGACAGTTCCTAAACACTTATGATCAAAATAATTGGCAAGCGTTTTCGAATACAGTCGGATATGGCGTCGTTGATTAGTATTGGCCAAGTGGAAACAGCAAAAAAAAGTGACTACTTAAGCCCAATTACTTCGGCGACCGATAACTTAGTTTTGATTTACTCCTCTGAGTTTTGAAGTGCAATATTGTTAAAGGTTGCAAGTCAGTTAAATGTTCATTATTTCTTAATACATTCTGTATTTGTAGTGTGCATTAGGACTGTCTTCATAAACGTGTCGTCACATATTTCAAAATGAATAACTAATTCAGAACAAATCGACATAAATATCCAGAAGACATGAACAGTATTAAAAGTACGTGTTTCTCTGTTGTATAATGTGTGTAAAACAAGAATTTATACATTGGTTTTTAATTTTCATTAAAATCAAACTGAGTGATTAATTGTTGGTTGCTTAACGTTCATTGAAAAACACCAGACCATTTAAATGTTGTAGTAAGGCATGCAGCCTCATTGTTAAATTAAAACAGAAATCGGCAAAATCTGAGAGCGTTTTGCCCTCCAAATATCACATAACTCAAATTCTTCTATACAATTGTCTAATGTACTCGTATATTCGAGTGTGTACTATTATTCGAGTATATGATAGGCGTAAAATAATAGATATATACTTAACATTTGTTATCTGTTACATGTATAGATACCAAAATATCAAACTTTTTTAGTATTCATAAAAATTCTAAATAAGTTGTTGGATTTGATATAAAGACAGACAAAGCATGCATTATGGTGCAAAGTTATATTCTACACACGAACTATACATTTCAGTTATATATTGTTTCTTTTTTACTAACATTGAAAAACGCAGCGGAATATTTATCAAAACAATACAACACAATGATAAAAACAATTGACAAAATGTCTCAAAATAAAAGCATAAAATTATTTATAATCATTACAATCAATGTGCAATGTAAAGTTGTATACAAATTTAAACATACAATGTAAAGCTACATTATTCAATTGTGAAGCTATTAGTCATTTGAATTATAATTTTTTTATAAGTTCTACACTATGTCAAAATAGAAAGATGGTACTGTTTCATTGACTCTTTTAAACTTCTTTGATAAATTTCATCCTTCTGTAGTAAATATAGATACTCGTTTTATTAAAATAATGCATATTTAAATATGTGTAGTTCTTTCTGTAAGTACAATTGATACTACAGCATCATACTTTTTTAATAAACATGCAAATTGCAATTATTCCCGACATTTAGCAAATACTTTAGTTACATTGTTGAAATAGTACATGTATTATGTCGTTAAAAATATTATTTTGTCTTCAGCCGACACAGTTAACGTGTCTGTAGGATCAGACATTGTTTTTAGAAGAAGTTATTAAAACGGAATACCAAATTAATTCCAACGAAAAAAGACCCAAAAAAAAAAATAATAAACCGGTATGAGAAAACATAACCTTAAAAAATGCCAGCATATTAATTTTGACAAGATGTTGGATCGTAAGTATCAGTAACTGAATAGCAACTCTTATTGTCTCTTTTGAATACATTAGACGATAGCTGTGCCGAGCTTTCATTATATTTGGTAGGCATGTGTTGTGTACATCCTGACTCATTTTTGTTCACTTATTATAAAGAGTGTTTAAAAGAAATCCACGCAAATACATTGTGACATCTACGACAGTATCGAATGACTGTCACTCCTATGAATTACTATCCTTTATATTGGAGCTATTTTTATTCAGGGTTGTGTTATTTTGTATTTGATATGATAGCTGTTCACAATCGAACAATTAAATCCTTGAAATATGATAGTATGAATCTGGAATATGTACATTATGTAAATAGTTTTGTTGAATATTTAATGCACTTACCTCTCGTAACCGCAGCACGTACAAAAGCTATCAATGAAAAGAAAACAAATAAGAAACACTCAAAATAATAATGTTCTTGAAAAAATGAATGAATACTAAAACATTTAGATTCTGACCAATTTAGTATTTTGACATGTGCAATAACAAACATAACTAAATTTAAGATTGCAGGTAATAGCGGATTGCTCCCTGGTCCGCCCGTTACAACTAAACAGCAGCCAATTTGAAAATTCAGAAGTCAAATAGCACATCAATATATGCCAGTTTACCTTTATCTTTAGTTTTATTTTGTTTAGGACATTTTGATAACTTTTCTTATTTTTGCTGTTTTCATGGTAGTGGCTGCCATTTTAAAAATTAAGAAGCAAACAACAATTTTACCCATGCCAGTCGTTAGTCAAACAAAATATGTTGATAGAACACACTGATGTAAACTATTTGTAAGTTTCTATACATGCATATATGCCAGTTTTAAAAAGACAGTTAATGTAATAATACACACTAGTGTGACATTGTGTATTCCTTTATTTTTTCAAGGTCTATATATCTTAAGTAATTCGAAGGCTTACTTTTGAATTTATTATAGTTTTATATTGATAATAATGAGCGATGCTATCTTGACATAAGTTAAAAATTTGACATTTGCAGGTTTTTTTTGTAGGTTTTTTTTTTCAGGCACATAGTTAAACAATGTAGTCATAAATAAGAGTTTTGCCAATTGTCTAATCATCCTAATAGACATGTAAATTCGGAAGTGCTCAATATTGACAAAGCAAATTCAATCTGTGATTCAAAACCGATTATGACAATTGTTGGTATAATAAAGTCACAATAGTTATTTACATGTTTTAATCATTCACAGCGATCCCAATTTGAAGATAGACGTTCAGATTAACGGACCTTGGTCATCGCAACTATGATTAAAAGTATGATGCTTCATTTCTGTTAATTACATACTATTAGTTAGATCAAACGTGTTTGCACAAAAATAAAGATGTATATATTTGCCACTAACATACCGGTCAAAGGTAATTATCAAAAAAATAATTTATGACTGGTATATTTTATGCAGTAACCAATACATTTGATTGTCCTTCCTTTTTTAATTTGAAAGTCACGTGTGTCGGTTAAATGCTAACATATTTAACAATGTTTGACCCGGAATATTTTATACACAGTTCTTTAACTTATGAAAAAGTATCTGCGTCAATGTATATTTCAAAAATTCATGAACTTAAACTGATGGTCTGAAAGTAAGAAAACAACCATATATATGACAGTGTTTACATCTTATGTTTCCATAAAGTTATTTGTTATTTATTTTATTTCATTGTTTACGGTATTATTCGCATTTGTAAACAAACCTTTAAATATTCCAAAAAAAATAAATGTCGTCAAACATTTGTCAAATCATTCTTTAAATCAGGTCCCCTCGTTTTTTTCGTGTTGTTTATACAAATGTTTTTTTGTTGTTTTATATTAAGCTTCATATTAAACAACAAAATAGTTTAGATGTATACACTATTACTGAATGTCATTTGCCTGAAAGTTGAATTGTGTCCTTTTTTGTGTCTGATCGATTTCAGATTAAAGTTGGTAGACAACTGACAACAACACAGCTGTTTTTAATTTACAAAAGCGGATTTTTTTTCAAAATGACCATACAATAAAAAATTGTCAATCTATAAGTTGGATTGGTATTCGATAAAAAAAAACAAGAAATAATAAAGATAAATAATAAACGAAACTTTACTTTTAAAACCGAGTGACCCTTTTATCAAACCTCAGATTTTCCCAATTGATAACAAAAAATTTGCTCGAGCTTTGTGCAGGGTAATGATATTTACAAGAGTGACATATTGCTAATCTTATTATATCATTAGTGACCTTTAAAACATTAAGGTCTGCAATACTTTGGCCATCATACCTCAACCCTTCCTATCTCATTTTATGATTGATTGTAAAGGATAATATTTAACCCGGACATTCATCTTACTCGGCAGATAGTGTTTTCAACTAATAACATTCAATTTAGTGATTCACATGAAGCTACAGTTTATGGTTTTTGTTATTGTTTGAACTTTTGATCTTATCTATAAAAAAGACAAAACGACATTTTGCAGTTACCAAAAAAATGCGAAAAAAAAAAATAAAGTCATAATAAATCGTTTTTTTTTTGTCGTGCTGTAGTTCTGATACTATAATCAATAAGACGGACAAAAAAAACATTGCAATCGGATGAACCTCGAAATTGAATGAGACCTGCATCGTCTTTTAGATAAGGATCCCTTGTTATACATTCTTTATCTACAAAGTGAATTTAAACTCATAAAAATAAAAAAAAAAACAATAGGATATACTCTTTAAATTTTCAGATTTAACATTTTTTCTAGTGTCTTATTTTCTGAAATCTAAAATCGCAAAGAAGATGTCTTTCGAGAGTTAAAACCAAAAATATCTAGACGAGCCTGCTTTATACCAATTTTATTATGGATTGTATTTCTCGGAACATTTGGAATTATAGGAGATTTATTTCGGCGTTGATGGTGATAATACCAAAGAAGAGAATGGAGATTTTATTCAAATTGTATATTTCCTTAGCGATGTATGTGTATAAGTGGGATTCGTAGATTTGTATACTTACGTTGTCTTTTAGTTCTGTCTATATGCGATGGAAAAAGTTTGTTTTATATATTTCAAAAATAATTGTTAATTCCTGTGTATGCTTGACAAAACAGGAGTTATGTTTCGAATATGGTGTTGATTTTCAGTTCATTTTGCTCGTGGTTATTGTCAGATAAGTAAATAGGCTTGTAATCTCGAAAGGGATTTATTTTTTTTTAATTTTTTTTTACTGTAATTCAAGGTTTTGCATTGCAGTTTTAGAAATAAATACTTCTCTGAATCAAACTTGAACTTGCTACTTACGGACTGAAAATAAATAATTATAATATATGATGAATGGCATAATTATGTATATTGCTTTGTCATTAATCGCCAACAAATGTATTTAATTTTCAACATTAAAGCTTTATATATCAGATTATCAAAATTGAGTCTTCTATTGAATAAGTAATGTTAGTGTGTAATAAGCATTCTGAAATGTCTTTAGTGAACTTCAAACTATTTCTAAATCATGTATATGCAATAACAAAAATATGATGTTTTGATGAAACAATCATTTGTGTTGATATAGCAGCCGGAATAGCAACGTAGGTGTCATGTAGGGAAAATTATATTCAAGCATATAGCTAAAACATCATAGTTTTTGCTCTTATAAATCTATGTATGCTTGCCAAATCATGTGTTATACTTCAAATATGGTGTCAATTTTCAGTTCAATTTGCTCGTGAAAACCATGCGATGAGTAAATATGTATGATTGTAATCTCGAAAGGGAAACCATTTTTTTTTATTTTACTATAATTCAAGGTTTTGCATTGCAGTTTAAGTAATAAATACTTCTCTGAATCAAACTTGAACTTGCTACTTACCGACTGAAAAGAAAAAAGAATTGTAACATAAGTTTTAACATCATTGATGAAGACAAAATTGTATATATTTGATCGCAAAAAACGTCATCAATTTTCAACATTAAAGCTATATATAACAGATTATCAAAATTGAGTCTTCTATTGAATTACTAATGTGTGTGTGTTATAAGGATTCAAAAATGTCTTTAATTATCTTCACGCTATTTCTGTATGCAAACAAAAAAAAAGCCATGATGTTTTGATGAAGCAATTATTTGTGTTACCTTGTCGGCTTGAACAGCAACATGTGTGTCGCTAGATATGAATGAGAATTAACAACCTTTACCCTTAAATATCAAAGAAGAAAATGTAGGCCTTATATAGCAAGGGAAATATTGTTTCTATTCAACCGGACATATTTGAGTTATTATTGTAGTACAAAGGTATAACAAGGCTATTGATTTGGCCCCTAAAATTTGAAGAAATAAGCGGAAAATCATTCACGCCTTCCCTAATTGGGTTTATTCTTTGATAACTAAACCGGTTGAAGTATATTTAGTAACTGGAATGCAGACAAGTACATTGTGATGTCACTGGTGACAAAACTGTGTCAAAATTGACAAACTTGACCTTACCATATTTAGTTAGACCACCATTTGTTACGAATTTTATCTTAATCATCTGAACAGATGCAAATATACATATAATATCAAAGGTCTAAAACGGTGTTTCCATCCCCCGTAACTTTCATAATATGCAAAGCCTCATCAATGATCACCAAAATAAAACCAACAAAACACGAGGTGCATAATTGCCCAATTGCATGGTATAGGTTATATACTGAGAATGTAACAACATATTCTTATTAAGGATTACGGATCAAATCAATTGGAAGGTTTTGAAGTATGCCAGGTGAGTACAATTCTGTGATGTTTTACACAGTTCTCACAAGAAGTCCGGGAGTAGGATTAGCCACAAAAGCAAAGAACTTTTAACACGGGGGACGAACGTGGTTTTACTACGAAGAAAGAATTCGATGCAAGTCAAATCACAATTCAGTATGTGCAAATGCTTTTATGGATCCGCTTATTTTTTTTTTATATGTGGATGTTCTAAATGTATTCAGGAAATTTTAAGACCGATAAATAACAGGTGACTCTTTATTTATAAAGAGTGAAGACACAAAACAAGTTACTTTTCCTTTTCTACTGGTATAGAGCAGGTTACAAATACATAGGTTATAACGACATAAAACATCACAAGAATACATATTGTTGCGGCAATAATTTCTGAAAATATTAAAAAGCACATGTATATGTGAAGCCCGTATAAAGAAGACCCAATTGTTTCGTATTTTTTTTTAGTTAAAATGACTTTAACTTTTCTATTCCTATATGATTATAGAAATACAAATTATATACTTACTATTCTCCTAAAGATGTAATTTCTTCTCGCCTTAAACGAAAATAGATACAATATTTAAACATGCCTGATATTAGAACGATATAACACATTTGCCAGGAAAAAGAGTTTGAAATATGCATACTACTCTATGCCTTAACTTCGGGTTTCATTACATTTGATTTTCTCCTGTATTTATACCAAATGTATTATGTGATATAACATTTTTGTTTTGCAAGTAATAAAAAAGAAATAAAACTCATAACTATTAATAATGTCTGAGTGATTGCAAAAAAAAATCATAAATAACATTTCATAAATTGTTCATATCCGACGCGCTTTAGTATTACCAATCGTCCGGAATACTAACACCCCAAAATTAAAATTAGGGATGTACTAACTCTTAAATGCCTGAGGTGCTATATGTTCCAAATTTATCTAAACAGAATAGCCAAATGCATCTAATGTCTACTTGGCAGTTGGATTTTAGTTCCATATATTTCTTATGTTATGCAGACAATAAAGTATCTTAGACCGTATGCCAATACCCCTGAAACGACTGATGCAGCTTGTGATGCCCTCGAGGACTAGCAATTAACCAACAGTGATATCGAACTAGTGCTAGACATTAAAATAATAGTTATTTTACTTTTTAGATCGATATTACAATCATCACACCGTCAGTAACGAATTTATTGTAACAATTGAAGAAAACAACGTTAACGTTCATGTAAGATATCTTTATTTTTAAAACTTTATAGCTGTTCAAATCCTGTTAAATCGGCTAATTATATACATTTCCCAATTGCCCATGTACATGAAACATCGGGTTAAAAGTACTCATTTATTTCATTTGTTTCAGATAGGAATTGAATGAATTTTATGTTTATTTCTTCTTTTTTAAGGAAATTTAAGTCTTCCCTCCATCTCTTAAACAATCGAATATTTTAAGTTGCAAAAAGCATCTTGTTATTGAGATAAATTACTTAAAAAGTATTCATGTCCAATATTAAAGCAATGTAATGTAAAATATCGAGTCAAATATATATCAAGAAGAATGGAAGGATGCACTAGGTTGTGTGACTTTTAATAAAGAATTAACTTTAAAGCACTTTTTCAGTTCCAATTTCTGTCGATAACTTTAAACTGAGGACCCTTGTCAGTTCCTTCCTTTTGAATTTTACAAAAAAAAAAAAAAAAATGACATGCAACAATTGCTTTCTTTCAAACAGTTTTCCGAATTTTTCTGCGTGGTGGCTTACACTAGAAATATTTTGAATATTGTGAACTAACATATTTTGACGAGCAATTATTTGTCTAGGGAAGAAAAATAACGCAAATACTAATGGTTCAGAAAATGTTCAACTTGACTCTTTCCTCGTATAAATACACAAAGTTAAAACAAAACGTGGAAATAAACAGCCATGAAATCGGCAGAAAAGTACTAAACACACACAAACAAAAGGAATAAGACCACTTTTTGGCCCCCAAAATATAGCATTTTTACAAATTTATTGAAATGTAAACTTTTCGCTCTTTATTGGAAAGTAAAATAGTTTTGTTTCATAAAGATGGGCTGTTTTTGACAATACATTGCATAATTATCGGGTATTAGCATTCAAAATTACTGAAATCTTCACAATTGTAGCATTTGTGCTTATTTTAAGACGATTTTTGTCTAAAATGGAAGTTGCCGCATTTGTGTTCAATCTTAATATTTAAATATATTTTGTATTTCATGATAATACATAACATGATTGTATGAATGTTGAGACTGAATACAAATGCGGCCACTTCCATTTTAGACAAAAACCATGTGAAAAGTGACGTTTTATGTCATTTTTTGATAAATTTTTCATATTGAAGCTTTAATTTGAGCGTCTTTACTGACCAAATCAGTTCAAATATTTTACATAAACTAATTTAATCGACTGAAGTAAACTCTTGTTTAAAAATCTTTCATCAAATGTCATTCGAATTTTAGGCCAAAACTAGCCCTTACCGGACTTTCTACTTACTGCGAAAAGAAGTCGGTTTATACTATTCGCAAACGGTCACTTGATTGTTGTTTTAATTTTAAAGAGATACCTGAACAATACTGTGGCAAAATCAGGTATATAATGACTACAGTTACAGCTTACACGATACTTAATTGTTTATTGTGTTTAAACTCTCGTTCATTTCAATCATTCATCACTTAAAAAAATAGCTGTATCTTGTTATTTTGTATGTATTTATTTTGGATGAATAATAATCGAGAGTAAGATTGGATGATAAGAACTTACGCACAATCAGAACATCTGTGTAAGTAACCATGGCGTTGCTCCTTTGTTTCTAAGACTGGTGAACAATTGCTAAAAAAAGGATTGTTTTCTTTATCTTTTGTTTTCAAATGTTGTTAAACAATTATAACGATTGCCTTTGAAAATATATTTTATCTTGCCATTGTATCTCTCCATGTAAAAGTGCTATGTAAATGTTTTAACATGCCAAATATTCAATATCAAAGATTAATGTTACTCTAGTAAAGATCTACACAATCTTGTACAAACCTTCCTGTTTTGGTCATTTTTCAATGCAAATAATATGATGCTCACAAGATTTGTGAAATATTTCAATACATAGTTTCAATATGCATGTTATCTTGTTTCTATGAGCTTCAAAGTAAATGTAACATGTAAATTCGGGTAATTTTGAAAATTTCAAATAGTCTTTCAAAATTTAATGTTAATGTGGACTTTAGAAAGATCCACACACTTTTGTAAAAACTTTTTTTTAGTTATTCATCGCTGCAAATAATAATACGATTACTTGTATCACCAATGCAAATACTATTATGATAAATTAATTGGGCTATCAATTGAAATAATATTACAGGTATGATAACTTATCAATACTAATACTATTATGCTTACTTGCGATATCGAAACAAATAGTATTGTGATTACTTGTGACTTGTAAACTTTGAAAATATAAAGTTTGTTTTAAACAAAAGTGACTAATATGACTGTATTCTGCGTCATAATTTGTATTTTAAACTAATTTTTCAACTTAAAATTGTTCAAGCAACTATACCAAGGCACTGAAATTGTTGAAAACACAATGTTTAATTTCCATCTCGTGTCAGTGATGACCTTAGCTAGAATAGGAACCGACTTTTTAAATTAAATTTTAACTTCAAGTAATAACATCTGATACTTTGGAATGATATACAAGATAAGTGGATTCGATCTAGTTTATTTGACTGTGTTTTTTTTTAATATTTGTTAAAAGAGTTATTTCGTAACTGTCAGCTCTTCGTTATTTAGAAAACAGTGTCCACGTCAGTGATGGCCAATGGTTCAATTGTACTTATTTTCCTATTAAAGAGTGTGTGTTGATTGTCGATTTTTGGAAAAAGGAGTTACTGTAGAAAACTATATCAATTCAGAAGACTTAGCATATTTGTATATTTACCTTATAGTATATGTACCTATCAGTTGTCTGATGTCATCTTCAGCTACAGATTTGCGATTGAAGGATATATTGGGAAATTCTGGATCAGCATTTATACGTAGTTTGTTGATTTCTCCTTTCAGATTTTTCATCTGTTGTACCATAGTTCCATCCTGCCTTGTTTTATCTAAACCCTTTCTTTTCTGTTCTAAGTTCTGCCCAGCAGCAAGTACGGATTTAGCATCAGACAACATATTCATCAGTTTGTCTTTCTCCTTCTTGGATTGTTCTTTTACTACAGCAATCATCTGAGCTACGGCTGTATCCACCATGAGCTTAATCATGTTGCTTTCATCGGTGATGTCTTTTATAACAGAGTCAACGGCAGTATCAAAAGATCTCAAGCTATCCTCAATCATCTTAATATTTCGATTTGCCTCATTTGTCTTGGCACGAATTTTTGTTTCATTTTCCCCTCGTAATTTCGTGACTACATCGACAAATTTGGAAAATGTATGCCCATTGTGATTTCCTGCCACACAACTGGTACAAACTGGTACATTGCATGTATTACACAATAACGTTAATTCTTCTTTGTGTTCACTACATTTAGATTTACCTTCTGGGATCAGGTCGGAAGCTTTTTGAAACTGATGGTTTCTCGATAATTTCTGCCTATTATGTAGCAGCTTACAATTTTCACAATAGTATTCCTCACAGTCTATGCAATAGTGTGATCCAGGGGCACTCACGCAAACTTCGCATGTTTTAGACGCAGCTTGAGCCATTGTGCACTCGACCACAATCACAAGTATGACAGATGATTGTATCATATGACAGTAAATTCTAAATTTGAATCAAGGACGATAAACAGTGTATATAAATGATTGACGAGATTGTATTTGAACAATTCAAACATTAGTTTTTTTTTTTTTTTTATGTTGAAGTGAACTTTAAGTTAAAATACATACATATATAATGCTAACGGACATTTTATTTATTGAACGTGTAATATGAGTATACCAGCATATCAACCTTTAAACTGTCGTAGTGTGTATTAAATAGGATATCACCTGTTATTTACCGGATTATGTATTCTAAATTTAAACACTGTACTCAATAAAATTGCATAGATTGTATATCATCTGCATACTTTCAACCAAAAGATCAATTAATAAGTTCAGATATTATATTAAAAACAATGATTTTGAAAGCTAAACATGAGTGCTTCTATTGCGCAAGTTTACACGATTACCCATATAAATAAGAACGGAAGAAAAGTTTACAATCACAGTGTATCGTTATTTAGTTTTTTTAGATGATATATAACATGTTTATTCAAATAACATTCTTTATCCTGCAATTGGGTGTCTTATTATACAATAACAGCCCAACAGATATCGCTAGCATGTATCTGTATACAATACAGATATCACGTTAAAGCTCCGCCACTGTCGGACTACATTTTTGTATTGCTGTTGACGAGTGTTGTTTGATCCTCCGTGACCACATAATGTGTATTGCAGTCGCATTCCAATGACGTATTGCTGGACCTTTTGTGGACTATAGAATAATTTACGTTCTGTTTGTTTTCAAGCATATCTTTAAGGCAATATGAAATAAAACCATTATCTGTTTAGAGACAAACATGAACAGCATGATTAAGTCCATTTTCTACGGCGCCAATTTACAAGTTGGAAGCTTGAATGTGTACATGTGTAACACACAAAATCAACCATGCAACATTTTCAATTTCAGCATATTCAGTCAGTTCAAAATTCTGAAGCATAGGACAAATCATACAATTTTGTTTTAAATCGGGCATTGTTTTGTTATTTATTTTTACTGTTGAAATAAGTTTTTATGTTATAAGAAATATATTTTTACTTTGAGCGATGTATTATTTATGACCATGCGGGATTCTACCCGGCGTAACCGGTCATCAGCTGTGTCAATTTGTTTGAATATCATTACGCTTAAAAGGTAAAATAACCAGAAACGACTATGTTTTAAATCGAAAATAAATGCAGTAAATGTGAGTTTAACTGTCGTTCAATACAAAAACAATGTACAATATCAACTGCAGGACAAAGTCAATAATTGTTTAGTGTCTTTAAATATCAGCTGTATTTGTACTTGGCTCGAAACAAGAGCAAAAGATCGCTGACGCTCGCATTACACATGTTTATTAGTCTCTTTCAAGTACAGCTGATATTTAAAGACACTAAACAGTTATTGTCTATATATATACACACAAACTATTATAACATTGTAGAGGAATAACTTGATAATTGTATATCTTGAAATAACTGGCAGTTGTAAGGAAATATATCGGTGCCTTTCAGTAATTAAATTCATTTTCGAATATATATTCTTACAAGCTATACATTCATAGTTTCAGATGAATTTATCATAATGTTAATCAAATGTATGTCAAATCACTGAACATATTTTGTGTTCCAACTGTAATCAAAGGTGGAGGTATGGTTAGGCTTAGTATGTCTTTGATGTTTGAATTGCTAAAATAATATCAGGTTTATACATCTAATGTCGGCATATGGTATACATTAAGCGATTGTGTATGCAATATCCTTCTTTGGATATACACGAATAAAACAACATTCCGATTCGCAATAAAATAAACGGAATCAATGTTTCTGCACCAGACGCGCATTTTGACAATCAATGTCTCTTCAGTGATGTTCGAGGCCATAAAACAACAGGTGTGTGTTTGCTCTCACTGCATGCGTTATCTCAGTTCAAGATTACAATCAATGCATAAGTCACATATATCGTGATGTCATATGAAAGATAGGAGGATGAAATCGTTTCTACAACTTGTATTTCCCATCATGATTTCCTTGATAGAGGGTTGCTGCTCACAAGGAAGCTATTAAACCAAATGTTCTAAATGGTGAAGTTGAAATCATCCCTTCGTACATTTTACGGACGCCATCACGAGTTTGTTGACCGTGATATAATAACCGTTTCACAGATGATATCGGATATGTTCCTTATGTCGTAATTACAATCCACTTTCTTTTTTTACCACGAATGTGACCTACCGAATTAGACTATTTACCGGATTTGTAATAACATGAGCAACACGACGGGTGCCACATGTGGAGTAGGATCTGCTTACCCTTCCGGAGTACCTGAGATCACCCCCAGTTTTTGGTAGGGTTCCTGTTGCTTAGTCTTTAGTTTTCTATATTGTGTCTTGTGTACTATTATTTGTCTGTTTGTCTTCTTATTTTTTAGCCATAGCGTTGTCAGTTTATTTTCAATCAATGAGTTTGACTGTCCCTCTTGTATCTTTCGCCTCTCTTTTAAGGAGCATGTATGTGATCATGGGTTTAAACAAACAACCATATCGTAATGCGTCTGTGAAACGTCAAAAGAAATGAATCCAGCTTACCAGCCCAGGCTTGAATGGTTTTTGGAAAAATGTTCACATTGGTGTTCTTCCAACTCGCATATAACTCTCCTTTGATTGAGCAGAATGCACATATTAAGTTCGCTTAGGATGGAAACGTACAATCAAAGTCGTCTTTAAAGTGCGCTACACTCTTATCCTGTTGGTAGCCTTTTCAATTTACCACATTTTTCCAATGGCTTTCCATATTTCACGAACTTTATCATATTCTTCTCATCTTTTAATCATGTTAAATGTAAAGTTTGTCGTTTTGAATATGCATTAAGAAATTTTTACTTGTCGCACATAAAGCAGCAATCAATCAAGAAATAATCTTCATTTTTATCATTAGCCGCATAATAATTCTGTAATAATTTTATGTCAAGAATGAATTTTTTTTACAAATGACAGCAATATTGCAACACAATAACTACAAAATTCTGTCCACATAAATTTAGAGTGACAGCGTATCCTCTTCTTATTCAATATATTGATACGTTACACAATTTCAGTAGTTTGGATACCTTAGACTGACTTGTATAGCAAAATTATTAAACCGTATCAATCAAAACTGACCATATTTGCACTTTATCATGTAAATCTATATAGCCGCATTGTAAATCAGCAATATTTTTATGTCAGAATAGAATGTATTATACAAATAACAAAAATATGCACTTATTGTTGATAGTTCCGCTTATACTTATGAAGTTATTGTTGAAAGTTCCGCTTATACTAATGAACTTATTGTTGATAGTTCCGCTTATACTAATTAACTTATTCTAACATGCTACAAATCAGTTATTATTTTAATATTTCTTATAACTGGTACCAAACGGACAAACTGACAGATATATATATATTCAACTCGTCTAAACATCAGCCCAACAATGTTAGATCTGTAAATTTGCTTTCGCTAATTTTTTGTTCTTCCCTCAACGGGATTCAAACTCATGCTACTGAGACACCAAATCGCCTGCACTGTATCCGACGCGCGAGACCACACGACCACCTAGGCTTCAAAATAAAGCTTTCGGTTGGCCGGGTGTTACCTTTCCTCGTAACTTTCAATCTAGCGTCGTAATACAGTACATGGTATATAAGGCATAAAGATGGAATTGTTACAGATCAGCTGAAATATCTATTGTAAAGGATCCTACAAATTAATGCAAGATACAGTCACAAAAATAATTATATTTATAAGTACGTCTTATATATATATATATACATAATTATTTGGTTATTGCTATAATATTTTGATGTATAGAGAATTTTTTTTTTGTACGGACAGGTGTTACAATGTTCTTCTTCGTTCAACTGAAAATAAAAAGTTATTTACAGAAAATAGATCCCCAAATTGAACGTAACGAATATCTAAGTCTGCATGTTTTTTTTAATTTTATTTATAGTTCCGGAATCATGCAGCCTGCAAACCTTATTTGGAATGGTCGTGGTGCCGTTTGGTTAAATGACGTAAATTGCTGTGGTTCAGAAAGTAAATTACTGGATTGTAACTTTAATAATGTTACATTACAATGTGATCATTATGATGATGTTGGTATCCATTGTTTTCTCAACTGTTCAACAGAAGATGAAGGTATGCAGGTTACCCTTCCGGAGCACCTGAGATCACCCCCAGTTTTTGGTGGGGTTCGTGTTGCTTAGTCTTTAGTTTTCTATGTTATGTCATCTGTACTATTATCTTTTTTTTATTTTTGGCCATGACGTTGTCAGTTTGTTTTCGATCTATGAGTTTGACTGTCCTTCTGGTATCTTTCGTCCCTCTTTTCGAAACAAACGTTTGAAGCATTGTTAACATTTACAGAATACTATCTAGTAAATATGTTGTTAGGGTGTAAGCATATAACATTATCAAAACGTGCATTAATGTCTTGTAAACATATTGCATTTATCTTCGCAACAGTTTTTCCTTTTTTATTTGAACGCAATGGTCAAACTAGAAATAACAAATGCTTTCTTAATAAAACAAGTGTTTATGCACTTTGCTCTAGTAGCAAGATTTAAGTCTGAAACGGTCATGTTGGTCTGATCAAGTCTCAATCGACTGAATTTACCGCAAGCGCACACGTTCAAAAATAATCAGGCTTTCATAAGCTGTTCCAATATAACGTATTCAGTCCGTTCAGTCAAGTCGAGATAACCAAGACGGAAGGCTCTAGCGATCGAATGAGATCTGTTAAGACGGTTTTGGACTAATTCAGACAAAACATAAACATAAACCTATTACCATCAAATTTTAAGAGTTGAGATCCGTTCATTGAGTTAGTATAATTCTAGGATTTACGGCCCTCCGTGTTGTTGATACATTTTAATTAAAAACGTAGCTTTTAAATGATTAAACATAAAATCATTGGTTGATTTTTTTAAT